TAGGAAAGTATAACTTCTTTATCTATTATACTTTTACCTAAGTTAATAAGTTATTTAATATTAATATTTAAGCTAGCTAGTATATTATTAGCTTCTACCCTCTTAGCTATATAAAAGTCCTACTTAGTTAGTAATTACTCTTAAATATAGTAAAAAAGATTACTAAAAGCTTATTTATTAAAAAGAGGGCTTTTAAAGATAAGTTATATATACTTATAAAGTTAAGAGATCTATATAGTATTAAGTTAATATAGTTAATACTTTATACTACTTTTTAATTTTTCTAATAGTATAGTTAATAATTACTTTTTATTATAAAGAAAGGTTTAAATTTTTAATATAACGTTATTACTATAAAAGAACGTAAAATAGCTAAACTTTAAGCTAAATTAGAGGTTTATATATTATATAAATAGAAGCTAGTTAAGCTTAATCTTAATAAATAGTTTACTAATATCTAAGCTATTAAAAATATTTAAATTATAGGGTTAATATTAACTTTTAAAGGTATAAAGATAGTAAGAGTATAAGAGATTAAATTTAAATCGTTCTAATATATTTTTTATTAGTTAGATAGTAATAAAACTATATTTTACTAAAACTGCGTTACTAGTACCTCTTCGGCTAAGCTGTTCGGTTATAGGGGGTGTTCGGTTATGGGGTGGGCTGACTTAGCCCCTTCATCCAGTCTATTCGTGGTGCCGCTGTCGTCTTGTTCAACAGATCTCAACAGCTTTTAGATTTGTGCGAACAGCTCACAGAGTACAGCCGACACCTCATATGTCGATCGTCTGTATGCAATGGAGCAGAGTGACGTCAACAAACCTTAAAACACATGTCACTGCGTCTGGGCGATGCCATAATCATTCTCATTCGTCTACATAGCACAACAAGATCCGGCGGTCAGTACAAAGTCTTACACAATCCAGGTTTTCTCCTCCCTTCGCAAAGCTGATCGTCCCATCTTAGCGGCCGCTGCCGTTGTTCACCAACAAATTAGGAGATCCCTTGGGGTCTCCAACGACATCGGGGATCGCCAGCTCCAGGATCCGGTTCGTGACCGCGTCCGGGGTTCCCAGGCCCGACTCCAGGCCCCTGAGGTAGCACACCAGCCCCGCAACGAGCGGCGCCGCCATGCTGGTGCCCGTCTTCGTGGCCGTGCCGGTGTCAGAGGTGTGGGCGGCGCTGATGATGTCCCGACCGGGCGCGAAGACGTCCAGCTCCGGACCGTAGTTGCTGCCGTAGATGTCCTCGATGATGTTGACGCGGCCGCGGTCAGGCTGGGTCATGCCAACGGTGAAGGACTGGGGGAGCCTCGCCGGGGAGACGTCGGTCGTCGGCTGGTTGCTGTTACCAGCTGCGACGACGGCAAGGACACCCTGCTGATAGGCAGCGAGCACGGCGTTGTCGAGAGCAGTGGTGCCGCCGACGCTGCTGAGGGAGAGGTTGAGGACGGAGCTGTTTTGGGCGCCCTTGCTGACAATCTCGTCGATGGCCCAGGTCATGCCGGTGAGTATCCAGGACGTGGAACCCTGAAGAATGTTAGTGAACAGTCGCAGGTGATTTGAATCGCTTTGACATACCGTGTCGCCGTCGAAGACCTTGACATCCACAACGGTGGCCTTCTTGGCAACGCCATATGTCTTTCCGACAATTGTAGCAGCCACGTGGGTGCCGTGGCCACTCGTGTCCGAGTTAGAGCCGGTCTGCTCCGTCGAGCCAGTCACGCCGTTGATGCCAAAGCGGGCGCGTCCCTCAAACTCTTCGTGCGACAAGCGGATGCCGGTGTCGAAGACGTAGGCCGTTGTGCCCTCGCCAGCGGTTTCGTCGTAGACGTACTCCGTCGCACCGGCCTCCAGGTGGGACAGGTCGCCTAGACTCCAGATGCTGCTCGTCTGCGTGGTCAGGTCGCGCTTCGAGGCTGCGGGGGCCTCGGTCGGCTCAAGGTAGATGAGCGTGTCGGGCTCGACGACCAGAACCTCGTCGAGCTCCGAGATCGTAGCCAGGATCGCGTCGTCAAAGGAGCCGCTGTACGCGTTAAAGTCGCCAATCTGGAACGTCTTCTCGACCTCGCCGGCGGCACCGTCGCGGCGGCGCAGAAGGCTTCGCACGGCGTTGTGGTGCGCCGTGACGGCCTCGGGGCTAGTGCCGGGCTTGAGCTGGATGATGTACTTGCCGGCCATGAGGCCCGGGTCGGCGCGGCGGTTGATGCCGCTCGGCGCCGCCAAAGCGGGCACGATGGCGCTGAGGAGAGAGACCAGGGTTGCCTTCATGGTGATCGGTTGGGCGGTGGCACTGCGTCGATGACGATGACATTCATCCTCATGGGACGGTCCTCGGGCGGGTTTTTAACTGTCGCTGTCAACCCATGCATCGTCGCGGAGACTCCTGTTCTTGAATCGGACAGGAGAGAATGCCTGCATGGCGTGACACGGGGACGATGTCCTATTCAGGAAGCTCGCGATGCCGCCTGTGGCGGGTAGATCCGACCCCCGGCCGGCTCCTCTCACCGGCGGGAACGGCCTCGTCAGGCTTGTTCTTCGTTAATTGACTGCAAAGGCCGGTCGCCGATCAACTCCGCAGCTTGATACTCGAGCCTGTCACTTAGAACTTTGATAAGCATTTCAAGCAACGCGTTGAAAGACCTCGTATCGCGACCAAGATGAGAGCCTTCCCGGCAGCCAAGACCTCGCCCCGAAATGAGGCATGGGTCGCGATGGAACCCTGGCATTGAACCACCTTCCCCATTCTTCCAAAGCGCTCCCCCGCCAAGCTTCATGGTTCCTGCGTAATCGGCCACTGCCGAGACTGCCATTATGCATAGCTTGACATCAAGCTTAATCAGGCGACTCTCATCCGTATTCCATTCAAGATACGAGGCAACAGAACCACGATTGAACCCCTGTCGATGCTTTTGACACGCCACTCTGAGTCCGAACCGAGAACGAGTCCGGATGTTGCGATCCATGAGAAAGCTCACGACAACTGCTGACAAACCGTGTATTTTGACTGGGCTTTATCACCATATCCATGTAGACCAAAGCCCGCGCATACGACCATGGCAAGATGATAAAATATAAGCTAAAGCAATGATTCTTCATATCTACTTCTGTTCTAACAGCCACTTCACGCCCTTAACCGTATCCTCGACGAACTGTCTACTCTTCTCAAGGTGCGGGAAATTCGTCCAAAAATAGTGCGGAACACCAGCGTAGATGTCCAGCTTGGTCTTCACACCAGCCTCTTCCCTCAGCACTCGCTCATAAATGAGACCTTCGTCTCGCAAGGGATCGAGGCCGGCAACCTGGAAATACGCAGGCGGCAACCCCTTGTGGCCTTCTCCGATCTTCCCATTGTGAAAAGGCACGAAGAGGGGACTCTCCATGTCTGGCTTGAGAACAAGTTGGAGGCCGGCGGCCGCGTCTTTAGCATCGCCAATGATGGGGTCTTTGCTCGGTGTCACGGCAGGGTGGCTGAGATATTCGGCGCGATACTTCTCCGGAACGTCCTCGGGGGGTAGGAAGCACATAATTGCTGGGACGCAAAGGTATTGGCCAGTTACGGGTGGCGAAAGCTTGTTGTCGCGAGCCAGATGGGCGAGAACAGCTGCGATGTTGCCGCCAGCGGAGCCACCGCCGATGATGAACCCACGAGAAGGGTCTGCTCCGAGTTCTGATGCATTCTTCGCGCACTATATTCCCAACATGTCAATGGGCGGCAAAGGCAACAAGGGATATGGTCTGACTAACCCACTGGAGCGCATCCCAGGAATCGTTGATGCCCGTTGGAAACATAAATTCGGGTGCAAGTCTAAGTTTCATGAGTCTTTGGTCGTTCCAACTTACCAAAGAGCTTACCTGTATTCAACGTTGACACAGACAGCCCCAAGGTCACGACTGAACAGACGGCAGTTGACCTCCTCATCCGTCAGGTCACCCTGAGACCAGCCTCCCTCATGGTACATGACAATGAGAGGGCTTCCTTCCGCGGGAGCCTTCACCGGCGTGTAGATGCGAATCGCAATCTCATGGCCATCCCTGACCTTGATCTTGCGATCCTCCTCACGCACCTGTTCCGGGATGGGGCCAGGGAGGTAGCGCAAGTGGTGCTTCTCGCGCAGATGCGTGGCTCTGTGTTCTCGCAATGCGAAGAAATCGGCTCGACCATAGTACGGATCACTTGGCTGTGGTCCGCGTACCGGACGTGCCGCAAGCTCCTGATCATGTATGGTCAGCACCGTACAGGTCACGCAAGGCAGCAGCTTACAGCCTCAAAGTCCGGATCAGGGACGCCGTATGCAAGTAATTCTTCACGGGTTCGGGGCGCCATGCTGTGATTCAGTGGAATTGATTGGTCCGGCAATATGATAGCTTGTTCATAGAAGGATGAACACCATGGGCAGATGGGTGTGCGGGGTTGTAATCGGAGAAAGCGGCGTCTTTGTACCTCCCGACTGATGACGTTAGTTGCTCAGTGGCGATTATCTAATCACACATGCGCTTCATTAATTCAAACGTCAAGGCCAGCTGACGTGAGACAGTTAGATGTAGATATTAGACGATTAAATTGAAAAATAGGCTTGAGTTGTCGGTTCAGTGGGGACTCGATTTGTGGCGAATATGCAAGTTCATCTCAATTTAGTAGGTTGCAGAAAGCTTGGGCAGAGTATTCGGAGATAGCTTCAACCTGGAGGCATCTGGAGGAGGCTCCCACTTAATGACCGTAACTTTTCAAGGTGTAGCTAAATCACTCGAAAAAGGTGGCACACCATGAAAATGATTTTTGCATAGGTTGCTGATGAGGATGAATCACTCCAGTTAGCGGACGGCCCTAGATGCTGTTTTGATCCGATCTCTCCAGCATTCAAGGGATCGCTGAATCACCTTTCAAGCGAGGAAGGAGTATATACCACAATTTTCTCTCTGTAGCTCCTTCTACCTCTTGCAGACTACATTCCAACCTAAACCAGACCCAGAGACCAACCCTGACGACGACGAAAGATGGCGACGCCAAACACCGACATGATACTTGCCATGCAAGATCCCTACATGCAGCAAATCATCGACGGCATCAAGACCTACGAGTTCCGCAAGTACAACATGGAAGGCATCAAGAGAATCTGGTTCTACAAAACCGCCCCTCACTCCGCCATCACCCACGTCTGCGAGGTGTCTGCCGCTGCAACTCGCAACCCCGGCGACCAGCCCATCCCTGAGAACGGCCTGGGCAACAAAGAATTCAATGACAGGCACCCGGACTGGGACGGCTACGACTTCGCCTACCGCATCAACTCCGTCTACCAGATCAACACCTCAGACGGCCAGGGTATCACGTGGCCCCAGATGAGAGATGAGCATGGAATGAAGATACACCCCCGTGGCCGCGTCAGACTGCCGGCATCCATCGCAGAGCAATACCCCTGGCGCCAGCAGACCAGAATTCGCTGAGAGATGGTTTTGGAGACGGGCGATGGGGAAGGACAACGAAGGAAGACAAAGGGCAACGAAGGACGACGGAGACGGACGAAAATGATCAAGAATAAAGCTGGAGGCCTATGACGAGATGATTCAATGAATAAAAAATTACCGCATCCTCACACTCACTATCTAATCATCTGCTTCATCTGTGACAAACGTTCGTCGTGATCTCACTGCTGGTGTCTGATCCACTTCTCCTGGGAAACCAAAGCCATACTGCGGCTCCGCCACTTCCGGTCCGCGTGAGCCAGACCAATTTCCTTCGCCGCTTTTCAAGATCCCATAACCAAGCTTCTGCCGTATCAGGTCTTTTGATATGTACCCGCGATCTCTTTGCGGCCCATCCCATTCCATGTCAGCGAAAGACGCGTTTCTCGTAGCAGCTAAAAGGCTAGAAAATCGAGTGTTTCTCGAAACACCGCCATTTTCCCGCGCTGCGAGTGTTCCGGCAACGACCCCTAAGATTGCCAGCCAGGCGGCTATTCCGTATACAAGAATGAGTATTCGAGCTCGATAGTAGTACTTGATTCCAGGGCGCGAGCGTGTGCAAGGGTATAAGTATTCAACTCCCGAGCTGTTACCGGTTTTCACGCTTGGATCTGCAGCCCATGCCACCACCAGGAATCTCGGATTTCCAAAGAATGATAAAAGGAACGTTTCGTAATATTCCTGAAGTCTTTTTGCTAAATTTGGACGGGGGAAAGAGTTTGCCGGATTTATCAGCATCGTTCGTCCTGCCGATGTATTAGCAAACATTGCTGGCTGCTCAAGGTATCCGAAATTGGGTCTTTGTCCAGTGTCATCCACTTGAATAGCGCCATCAACTCTCTCGCGGAAGGCACTCCCCATTGCATAATACGCAGCAGTTCGCTTGTATCTCTTCACATCAGTTGGGAAGATATAATTGCTCTCTGGTACTGCCAAAGTGTCGTCGTCGGTTCCGTCATTCGCAGTGGCACCTTCCATAAAAGTTGTGTTGATAGTGGGAGATAAGAGCTTGCGTTCCTTGATGCGATGAGGTTGCATCCCATCTATGTATCTGAGTTCAACGGTATAATCGGCTTCGTAGTGCTCGCATGCAACTAACACCGGCTCCCATGCCTTTCGGTTGAATGGAAATGTTTGGTTTTCTTGCAGAAACGGCGGAACTGACGAGTCCACGATTTCTGAGTATCCAACCCAGACCACCGGGTCGGTTCTAAATGCGCCAAGATTTTCGGGGAACGGCGGATTCATCAAGGGTATTCCACCAAGATTAACTGCCTTCAACTGCGTATTAGAGTAGTGTCCAAGCCCTGCATTGCTGATGTATGTGTAACTTCCAATTGGTGCAAGCAAGTTGAAGTCAATCGGTGAGTGAGCCTCTCCTGATTCCTGTTGAAGGCTGCGAATTTGGGCGCCAACACCTCTAGCCTGCTCTTGGCACTTGTAAGCAGGAGCAACAAACTTGATCTCGACAGTGCAGTTCCAGCCCTTCTCACAAACAACGAAGGTGTCGTCCAAATTGGTGTATGGGCGCTGCAATGCGGTTGTCGCCGAGAACATTTGGTCACCCCAAACGCTCCTCATGGCCCAGTAGTCGAAGAAGTAAGGTTCAGATGTGTTTTCTCTTGTGACATTCCACTCGCTCAAGGAGATTTCCCATAGACCCTCGATCTTTGGCGTGTGTCGCCAATCATTTTCTCCTTCATGAGAAAAGTTCAGAGTTCGGACCCCGGAACACCTCGTCTGTTGAACTTCCTGTGTTGGCTTCACTAGAAGCGTGTTTGTTGTCAGGATTACGATGAGTGGCGAAAGCCTGTTGCACCTCAGGAAGCTGATCGGTGAATTTTAGTGTCATGATACTCACCAACCAAATAATGCTAAGCTTGCCACTAGCTTTGCGCGGGCGAGAAATTCCAAGTTGAGTAGAGAGAATGGTGTTTCGTGCGCGGCAAAAATATCGTCTAGGGTAGCAATGGCTAATAGCTTTGATCTGACTGTTGCCCATACTTGCTGTCGAAAGGCTGTCAACACTGAAGCTCCGAAGCTGGCCTTGGCTGCGAAAGCCAAAATGGTACCGTAACGGAGCTTGAGTAACTGGTCGTCGCCGTGAACAATCTTGTCTTCGAGAGAAGCATAGTAGGCGTGATGCCCAATAGCAAAGGCCACTCCGGCAACCCAGAAGAGGTAGATGTTCCAAGTCTGGCTCCACAAGTCGCGGGTCAACAGCAGCTGCTCGAACCAGTTCGGTTTTTCATGCTCAGTACTCGTGTCGGCATATCCGTTCCCCAGGTTGGCAGAATGCCCGGGAGCTACAAGAGCTTCTTGAGAGAAATCTCCCTGTGCAAAGGATGTTGTAGCAGCCTGTGCGTGAGCTTCCGGAGTAGAACACCGGGAATCAGGCGTATCATTTCCGTCGAGCGAGGGTGCTGCGGGCGGTGCAACCGTCGTGAGCTGGACTACTTCAGGTCGAGATTCGCGATTATCCATTCGGGATGCAAACGATCCAATATACAGGAGAACTTTCTGCGACTTTCTGGTAAGTTTGTGCCCAAGATGCAAGGCTAGATGGACGAGCAGCAGGATTGAAATACCTTGAGCTCACCAGGCTCGATAGCCGCCAACACACACCGACATGGTTACACTACATACCTGGTCGGGAGCCATAGTCAGCAGTGCAGACCTCACGGCGTCTCATTCGTCGTCATGTGCATAATCTTACAACAGTCATTTATCATGTCCTGAAAAAGTAATCGAGGAAATAGTTTGGGAAATGATTACCCTCAGCTGAGAACCCGAGGTCAACAGTAGAAACTACCCTTCGGGTTGTATGCGCATAAGCCCAACGATGACACATCGAAACGCCTGATTTATGCGCCTCGAGAAGTAACTGCGATCCGGTGGGCTTCCTGCGAGACCTTGTTCTTCAGATTCTCTACCTATCAGCCAAGGTCAATGTCTTTCACATCAACTCATTAAATACATAACAGAGCTCCTTTGGTCTCGTCGGCCAATTTCGCCCTCCACAGCCTGTTCTCATTGAGAATGAAAAGCTCTCCGTTGCGACCGAAGCAAAAGTTGGCAGCGCCGCCCTGAATGAGAATCTTGCCCAGCAGGACACCCCCTGCGGACCAAATGTTTATACCATCACCGCACCCGCTGTACACATTTCCGTGAACATCGCACTTAATGCCATCCGGGATTCCGGTGTCAGCCATGGCGAATAACCGTCTGTTGGTCAGGAACGGCTGCCCAGAGTATGACACGAGGTCAAAAGCGTAGCTAGTTCAACAATCAGCAACATTCTCTCACAATGATTCAAATCAACTCACATCGTCGAAGGCCTCGTGAGATCTGTCGTTCCATCTCCATGAATCCAGTCCGTATCCGTCACATACACCGTCTTCTCATCAGGACTGAAGCAAATTCCATTCGGTCTCCCGAACCCATCTGCCATAGCCCTGATCGACCCCCTGATCGGGTCAAACCTGTACACCTGGTTCGGCAACTTCGGCCGCGGCCTAATCCCCTGCTCATACCCATAAATAGGGTCGGTGAACCAGATGGAGCCGTCGCTGTGCACCACCACATCGTTGACAGAGTTGAACTCCCGGCCGTGGAACGAGCTCACCAGCAACCGCGTCTGATACGGCGGCTGCGCCTCCATGAAGACGATCCCGCCCGGCGAGTCCAGCGACCCCTGCGAGCAGAAGATGACGCCGTCAAGGTAGTTGACGCCGCCGTTGGCCATGTACACGCCCTCAGGCGCGATCTCCTCGCACTTGACCTTGGCGGCCGCGAAGTCCGCGGGCAGCGTGACGCGACATACCTGGATCTTCTTGCCGCCCTTGTCGTCGGGGAACTGATTGCTCGTGATGAAGAGCGTATTGTCGCGCTCGATGAAGACGCCCGCCTCGTGCGCGAAGGGGTAGTCCTGGTTCTCGTGCAGGAGCTCCAGCGTCGGGTCCGCGCCGAACAGCTTCTTCACGGAGTCGTCGTAGACGGCAAAAGCGGATGCGTTCGTCATGGTTCAAGATAGCTTAATTGTCCAATCGAATAGTAAGCCTGAAGAGACTATGGAAAAGTATGCCAAGGATTGAGGACGCAACGAATGGACGAACCAAGGGAAACTAGACCTGCCTGACAAGAGGAAAGAGGGGAGCTCGGATATCAAGGCACGTTGCCCCGGGTTGGAGCTAATGCGGGGCATGCACCTCCTCAGCTGTCGATGTCACAGGTTTACACTTTATGGGTCCGGGCCAGCAAACAAATGGCTCAGAAGCAGGGGTTTTGTTAGTGTGGGATGACTCGGGCTTTTGCTGCTGGTGGCCGCCGAAACGTATGCAAAGTCTAAGCTGATCGATCACGCAGTCGTCTGTGCGATGTGCATCTACTGAGGTGAAACGAAGGGATAGATCTTTTTTGAGTGGCAGCTAAACTCTACGGACGCTATCTCTTTCATTCGTGCAGCAATCTGGCTTTAGATACATGACTCGTGTTACTTCAATCTGTTTTGTTGGCTACTCATGCCCTGACCTCCTCAACATCCCACACCTCCTGCTTCTCGCTAGTGTCGTGACGGTTCAAGTCAACGAAGCTGTCTCCTGAGAAGAGACGGTCCACATCTTCCAGCTCCAAACCCTTGGTTTCTGGGAAGAACAGATAGATAATTGGCACCCAAGTAGCGTTAAGAACAGCAAAAATTATGTAGGTTCTCCAGCCAATGTTGGAGATGGCAATTGGGGTGATTTGGACGACCATCTAGTGCTTGTTAGTGGTTTACGCTTAGTCTGAGACCTTTCTTCAACTCACGTAATTGAAGATCCAATTGACTCCACTGGAAACTGAGGAGCCAAGTTGGCGAATCCTAAGAGGCAGAATCTCGGATCTGAGAGACGTTAGCTGAATATTCTCTTGACAACATCAAATTACTTACGGGTAAACCCAGACGGTTGCCTGGAATCCAATGGTGAAAGCTCCCTGGAACACAAAAAGCATTGCTGCTGCACCAATGCCTGCCGACTTCGCAATGGCTGTGGCGTTCTGAACCTGGTAGATGAGGCCAGCTTGTACTGCCATCACCGCTGCCATCATGCTGATCATGGACAACAACTGTAGACTTTGTTAGTTCATGGGCAACATCAGAGTCTTTAGTGATCACATACCAGTGGCCTTCTGCCAATCCTGTCAATCAGCAGCCAGGGAATGAACGAGGCCACAAAGAACCAAGTCTGCAGGAATCCAGACATGAGACTCGACATGTGGTTATCAAACCCAATGCTCTTCTCGAAGAGAGTACTGCTGTAGTCTAACCACCGAGTATTAATTAGCAATGATCACTCCCGAAATCCCTGAAGCACTCACAAATGATGGCATTGATTCCACCAAGCTGTTGGAACCCTTGAATAGCGCAAGCAATCAAGAACCTCCTCTGGCTCTTGATGCGATCATTCACAAACAGGTCCTTCCACGACCCAGCGCTCACCGACTGCTCGTACGCCACCGTCTGCATGATCGAGTTGTGAAGCACCCTGATCGATTCTTCGTCTTCGTCCCACTTAAGCCGTCTCAAAACAGCGAGGCACTCATCCGGGCGATCGTGGGAGGCCAACCAGCGGGGTGTCTCGGGGATGATCTTGAGAATCGCAAACATGGGAAGAATGCAGACGCATTGCAGAGCAACGGGAACTCTCCAGGCGTAGCTCTCAACATGGGAGGAGAAGGCGTAGTCGATCCAGTAGATGAGGAAGATGCCGAAGTTGAGTGTTGACAACTGCGCGCAGACGTCTGCACGATCTCCGTTAGAGTGATCGATGGCGATGGGGATGGGGATTTGAAAACTTACAAATTCCACGGCTGGACTTGGGACTGAACTCGGCTTGCAGAACAGGAACGGTTGAGTTGACGATACCCATGCCGATGCCAGAGACGATTCTTCCGACGATCATCTGAGTGCGGCCGAAAGATGCAGCCTGGACGATTGCACCGACGACCATGACTGCAGCACCGGATCCGATCGTCCTGCGACGACCGAATTTCTCGCCGAAGAAAGCGGTGGCGACACAACCGAGGAAGCAACCAACTATTGCAGCAGTTAGTGCGATGATCTGGAGCAGCCACAAAGAGCGTCATACTTTCATAGATAGCAACGATGAGGCCGGTCATCGTCGGATCAGGAGAGTCGAATGTTTTGTTGAAGGCCGGAGCCGTTACTAGACAGATCACCAGTCAGCCAAGACATCTTTTAACGAGACAACAAATGGCAGCAATCCTCACCCAGCCCTCCCATGAGTCCATTGTCATAACCAATGAGCATGAAACCCAAAGAGGTCAACACGCTCACGGTCAAAACCAGCGCCTGTCCACGAAGTTCTCCCATATTGTCGTCGTCGTCGTCGTAGTCGTCTGCGTCGATGAAGCCTCCACGATTCAGTGTTGTCCAACACGCCGCTCACAGTTCCGGGGAGCAGATGTCTGATGCTTCTGGCACCTGCCGAAAACTCTCGTCCGAACGCCTGGAGCCGAACGCTTATATGTGCAAGGTGTGAGTGTGTGGATGGACAAAGACGGTGACGCGCAGCAGTGATGCCAGATTTTGTTGCACCGAGAGCCATCGTCTTGGATCGACGAGCCAGGCGGCAGAACCACTTCCCCGGGAATCCACTCGCAGCACCAACAAAGCATATCTGCGGGGTCTGGGGTGAGTGAGCTGGCCTGGGGACGGCATAGATTGAAACGCGTTACTGCTGGCAATTGAATTACTAGGTTATCCAAACCATCAGACGGCGAGCCCGACGCGGCAATAACCGACAGAGCGACGTCCTCTGCCAGGGCTCGGCTACTGAAAGTCTGAAAGAGGACAAGAGGCTGCGGCAATTGAGTCAGTGGTTTTGATTGGTTTTCCCCATCAGTCGCGGTGATGCAGCCATCGTGACATGTTTGGACCCTCCGCAATTGATTGCAGCTCCAAGGTCTGCGAGGTCAGGAGACGAGTGCTGCGTCCCCATGGGGACGATGAGCCCACAAACACCGACGATTGTCGCGAAGGCGCCCGCAATGGCGCCAGACAAGGCTCTTCATCGCTCGTTTTGGGAGAATTGGGCAAGTTTGAAAGCTGTCGCGTGCAGCCATGACTTTTACAAACCAACCAGTAATTATGGCATGACGACTCAAGCTCCTGCAGGTGAGGTACTCCATCAAAATCCACCCCGATAGCGGCGGCAATTGCACCGTCGGCAATTCGGCCCTCGGTGTTTGTCCCGCGCTGCCTCCAACCCCTCATTAGCCGTTGCTCTCATGTTCAACATTGAAGACCATCTCACATAAACAGACGGCAAGTGAAGATACCCTGGCTTTAGTAGACTACAGCAGCAAATCTACTAGCTACCCTTTAAGACGAAAGACCGTGCTCCTTTCGACGACTTGCATACGAACAAGAACTCTAGACAAGGGGTTTGATAGATTTCCAAAATGGTTCAGCATACAATTCAGAACACGGACAACCGCACACAAGGTCGCCTGGCCTTGGTGACGGGAGCAAGGTGATTCTGATTCACTCCTCAAAACACGATACCACCCTTGGCTAACTCATGTTCCAGTGGTGGTATTGGGTCATCAGTTGCACACGCCCTCGCGGCAGAAGGGTGCGATGTTGCGCTGCACTACTC